CCGGGAGCTGGTGCTGGTCCTGCTAACTTTGGGAGTGCTACGTCTGGGGGTGCGGGTGCACCCTCTTCGGGTCCTGGTGAGCCTGGTCGTGTTTCTGTTGGTGGTGCTAACTCTGGGGGTGGTGCGCCAGGTGCTTTGGAGGGCGGTCCCGGGGCTGCCGCAGCCCCCGACACTACTCCTCCCCCCCACCCCTACCCGACCCGGCACCAGGCTCGTGTTCGTCGTGCCCGTGAGGAGCAGCTGGAGTTGGAGAGAGAGGAGAGAGAGTTGCAGCGGCTGGAGGAGCAGCAGCAGCAGCAGCAGCAGCTGCAGCAGCCGCGGCTGGAGCCGCCACAGCAGCAGGAGGCGCAGGAGCTGGAGCCGCTACAGCAGCAGGAGGAGCAGCAGCAGCCGCCGCAGCAACAGCAGCAGCAGCCGCCGCCTCCTCCTCCTGTCTCCGGTCTTCGGGCCCTCGGTCTCCCCTCCCGCTCTCCTTCCTCCTCCCCCTCTCCTCCCGTCTCGGGTCCTCTGCTTCCTCCTCCTGACCCCTCTCCAGCTGTTCTCCCTTGTTTTCAGTCTTCGTTGTCCCCTCCTCCTTCTCAGACCTGGGCCTCTCGTCGCTCCCCTCGTGCTCGTCCCTCGTCCCCTGTTCCCTTCACTGACCTTCGTACTGCCTTACTTCGTTCTAGTCCGCCTCGTCCGTCTCCGTCTGTGCTTCCGTCTCCTCCTGAGTCGGCCCTCACTGCTTCGCTTTCTACTCCTGTCACTGACTACTACCGCGCGTACCGTCCTGTTCTCTCTCGTGTTCTCGCCTCTCTTGTTACCCACCCTCGTGCCTCTGTGTCCTCTGTCTCCGCTCTTACTGCCGCAGTCACTGAGTTTGCCTCTACTCGCCGCCTTGACTTCGCCACCAGTCTTGTGGCTGCTCCTCCTTCCAGTCCTCTGGCCGTCGGGGGTGTGTCTACCCTTGGCTGTGACGCCCTAGAGGACAGGCAGTTTGAGCTAGAGTTCCTGGCAGCCGCTTCTCCTCATCTCTGTGCCATGGTGCTCGCCTCTGCGGGAGACCCCGACGCCCTTGACATACCGACTCCTCGCACTTACGCTGAGGCAGTGTCAGGGCCTTGGGCCTCTCAATGGAGAGCTGCCATGGACGCAGAGATGGCCTCCTACATATCCACAGGCACCTACGTCGACGAGGTTCCCCCCCTTGGGGCGAACGTAGTCGATGGCATGTGGATCTACAGGGTGAAGCGGCCACCGGGATCTCCTCCGGTCTTCAAGGCGCGCTACGTGGCTAGAGGTTTCAGTCAGCGCGAGGGAGTTGACTTCTTTCAGACCTTCGCGCCCACCCCGAAGATGACCACTCTTCGGGTGTTACTGCACGTAGCGGCACAGAGAGACTACGAGTTACACTCTCTCGACTTCTCTACTGCGTTTCTTCAGGGTAGCCTACACGAGGAGGTCTGGCTGCGTCGTCCCTCTGCCTTCACTGGCACTTTCCCTCCTGGGACCCAGTGGAGGCTGAGGCGACCGGTCTACGGTCTCCGTTCGGCGCCTCGTGAGTGGCACGACACCCTTCGTTCTACTCTCGCTGACCTTGGTTTTCAGCCGTCGTCTACCGACCCGTCGCTGTTCGTTCGTCGTGGCTCTACACCGTTCTTTGTTCTAGTCTACGTCGACGACCTGGTTTTCGCCACTGCTGACAGGGTTGCCTTGGCAGACGTGAAGTCCGAACTGCAGAAGAGACACACTTGCACTGACCTTGGTGAGCTGCGTCACTACCTTGGCCTGCAGATCACCACAGACATAGCTGCTCGCACCATTACACTCTCACAGTCACACATGGTGCAGCAGGTCCTTCAGCGGTTCGAGCTTCAGCACTCCACAGTACAGCGCACACCTCTTGCTGTTGACCACAGACTCACTGGACCCTTTCCTGACGAGCCGTTTGAGTCCAATGGTCCCTACGCAAAGTTAGTGGGCTGCCTCATGTACCTGATGACTTGTACTCGCCCGGACCTTGCCTTCCCTCTCAGCGTCCTTGCTCGCTTTGTTGCGCCAGTGAGGCACCGTCCTGTTCACTGGACGGCAGCTGTGAGGGTGGCGAAGTACCTAGTGACGACATCAGGCGTGGGGCTAGTTCTTGGAGGGCAGCAGCCTGTCGTACTTATTGGTCACTGTGACTCTTCTTACGCTGACGACGCTGAGACTCACAGGTCTACTCAGGGGTACTGTTTCAGCTTGGGTTCTGGAGCTGTTTCCTGGCGGTCCACGCGCTCCTCTTCGGTCTCGACCTCTACAGCTGAGGCTGAGATCTACGCTGGTGCCATGGCGGCACAGGACCTGCGTTGGTTGACGTTTTTGCTCGCTGACCTTGGTGAACGGCCGAGCTCTGCACCGACCTTGTTCACTGACAACAAGGCGTCGATTCTCCTCTGTCGTGAGCCACGACTGGAGAGCAGAGTGAAGCATATTCACGTTAGGTACTTCCTTCTGCGAGAGTTGCAGAGACGTGGACAGGCTCGCTTTGGGTTTGTGGAGTCCGAGGCCAACACTGCAGACATCTTCACCAAGGCGCTTCCGCCTTGTGACCACCAGAGGTGTTGTGTGCAGTTAGGCCTTGTTGACACAGGTTCTAGTCGTGTATAGGCTTGAGTTTACTGTTTGCTTTGCTTGTACTCTTGCTATACACACTTGTGAACTCTTTGAGTGGCCTTGTGGCCATTGTTGCTTGTGCTCAAAATGTGTGGTGACGTTGTGATCCACCCTGAGCTTTGTATCTTTGTGACTGGTCTTGTGACCGTACACTTTTGGTTTTGCTAGACACCCCTCACTTAGGCTATGGGGGTGTGTCGAATGTTGTAGCCTTAGTGAGGTTTGTCTTAGGGGGTACAAAAGTTAGGGTTTGTCATATGTACCCCAACACACATCAATGACATCATTAGTTCCTTTCCTAACACTAGCATACCATTAATAATTTTCGTCTTAGTAAATACATGATACACACAGTGAGCTATTTTGCAATAGAAAAAAAATGAATACTACAAATCTCACACATACTCTTGGTTGTATATTAAGAGAAATATTTTGCATGCCAATGAAGTACATGGATAGACAGTAAACCCAGCAAATTGTGTCTCACATGGTGGAAAAGGTTGAAGTTTGTAATTTATAAGAGTTTCACACTGAAAGATTCACCATAATGTACTCAAACATTTATTATAATTATGAAAAGCCAACACAGCAGATCCTATCGATACCTAGAACCAATGGGACACATTTGCACAGTTCCAACAGAGTTCCCGAGGCTGATATTTGGTGCCGAACCTGCAAACATAGCCTCTCAACCAGTGGGGCGATTTCCGAGGCTGAAAAACCACCTGCCCAAGCAACTTCGAGAATTTCGAAGCTACTTGCCTTGTTTTCGTTTCGACGCGACGCGTCGAAAGCATCTTTCCCAGGCAAAATCAACTTCCTACCTCAGCCATACTTTCATGAACCCTACTTTTCGGGAGTCCCGATTTTTGGGATGTATTCGTGAGGAATGAACAAGTTACTGCATGTGATAAATCTTTGTTCAACATTGTTTTGCAGTCGAAATTGCTGTTAGGGGCGGAAATTTTGCAGTCGAAATTGCTGTACTCTTGATGCGGAAATTGGCCACGCCACTGGGATCTCCAGTTCGTCTGCACGGAGTGTCGCTAATCTGCGACTGTTACGTGTGATGGGCCTTTTCCCGCGTGAATGTCTCTGCGAGTCATTTTTTTGGATCAGGTAAGTTGGCGGGTCCAACAACGTGCATATTCGCAGAATATCCAAACCAACCATCTGGTGTTTCAAACAGACCTATCTGGATCATATCCAAACCCTTTTCAACCGCTCTGACGTGCCCTCTAGCCACGCCCTCAGCGACGAGCATGAGTGTGTTCCCCGTGTCTGATATTTTGGCCTGGGTTTCCGTTTTCGCATCATGATTCACGATTGGGAAAATATGTCGTAAGTAACCAACTTGGCACTCGATAACGTGATTTCTAAAAGAAAAGCGTACGGTCACTGTATCGGGTTTTCTGACGGGTTTGGTAAGTGGGGTCACGGATTCAGTCACTAACAACAGGTAAAAAATCACGCGATTGGTCACACATGTAACTCTCGCCAAAAAAAAACTTGAGACTCAACAAAATTCCCGCTCGCGCCCAACCAATATGCTAACTTCTAAAAAAACTAAAACCCAATCGGAATCGGATGCGGTTTGGGAACAGGTCAACCATAAACACCTGGCGAGTTACGTGTTTGGGGCTGATTCATCCGAAAATGCATCCAGGTTCTTTTAGGGTTTCATTTTGTTTTGGCGGGAGTTTCATCTATGACCATTCGCGTTTTGTTTTACCACTTGATAGGGACTGATTATGTGAACTGTTTTATCAGTCGCGTGAAAACACCATTTTCTGTGACCGTACCATTTGATGTTTTACCAAAACTTTTATTGAGTCCCACGATGGTTACAATTAACATATTTTCCCTTGACGTTTCGTCGTCGTGAAATCCCCGCGATAGGTTGAAGCGGAACACTGTGTTGAGGCGGGACGGGTGGGGTGGGGGGAAGAACCGAACCGACGTCTGGGCCTGAGATGTACATTCTCGCTCAACCTGTCTTGAACCTTCTTGAAAGCTCTGCAACGCAGCGAAACCTTCTTGAAGCAGTAACTGAGGCGGGGACGAACCACACTGGGAGGCAGTCACAAACGAGATTTGGTCTTGTGGGCATGCGCTGCCCGCGAACACATTTCCTCCCAAACCGCATCCTTTGTCAAAACGTCGGCGTATCATCTCACGACACGTCGTTTATGCAGCCACCAATTCATTCCAAACCACATCCCTCCCTTTCCTTTACCTCTGGGAACACCCACTTCCCTTGCCCTCCATCCATCACTACACAGTCCTTTGAAATATTTATTGCTTTGCATTGCACAGCAAGCTCCACACTCACAATTCCTTCTCTTGAAACCAGTAAACCAGTAGCAATGGCCTGGTACCCATCCTCGATGCGTGCCCTCACCCTTGCCGTGCTTTTCTCCGCGTCACTATGGGTTGCGACTCTCCCGCGCTCCGCGGATGCAGTGCAACTCTCCTACGTGCTGTCGCAGATCCGCAATTCGAGCAACACGGGCCCGAAGCCCGTCGACTTTTCCGCGGGAATGGTGGAATTCGCCGCCGGATACGACAAGGCCACCGACATTTCAGGCGGTTCCCTTCTTCTGCCCATTAACGACGGCTGGACTAACGCGCTCGCGGGCTACAAGAAAATCAACCCGGCTGCGACAACCTCGTCGGACCCGGTTCTCGAGGCGCTCAGCATGATAGTGTCCTCTTCGGGATCCGTGTCGGCCCTCAACGGCATGTCCGCCAACGCCAAGAACGCCATGTCGCGCCTCGCCAAGTTCATGGCGATTAGCCAATACGTTGGACCCGCCGACATGCAAACTGGCAACGTGAGTGTCCCTGCACTCGTGGAAAGAACATAGATAGTGGGATGCCCTACTTCTTGCTTCTATCATTCTCGATAGTAGATGTTGGAACATAAAGGTTGGATTTTGCACTCCTTTCTTTCCTCATCACGCTTCGTCTATCGTGTATCCTATTCCCTTCCAAGCAGTACAAGAACGGGCGGTTCAGCTTAAGCACGGCGCTCAACCAGCCAATCTTTCTCTACGCCAACGTCACTGGCTCCATGCCTGCCGCGGGCTTGGATCACGTCTTCACTGGGACCGACCGCGGCACCGTCGACCCCACTACTTCCGCCAAGAATGGACTCGTAGCGGGGAGTGACGCTGGAGGGCCGAAAGCAGTGGCGGATGTGACAGCCGCGTTTGCTCTGAGCAGCTCCACTCAAGTGTTGGGCAAGACCACGTCGTCATCTGACATGTCCGCGATTGTTGTAACCGACCCCGTGTTTCCCGCCACCATGAGCTCTCTTACCAGCTCCGATCCCGTGCAACCGTATGGCAAAGGTGTGTTGTGGGGTGTGGATGGTACAAGCGGGCCTTGAGAGCGACTTGCTGTTTTTTTTTCAGCAATGATGCCACGACAGGAAGTTCGTAACGTCGAAGCTCCTGTGAGTGCCGAATGGACATTGGCTGTTGTTGCTGCATGCCAAGAGGTTGTGACAGCCTCTCTGTCGAAACATGAGCTGCTGTTGCGGCAATAATCTGTCAGGTTCATTAAAACCCGCAGGCCACAGCTTTCAAGCTTAGGAAGGTTGGTTGGGTAATTGAATGCTATTGGCCCGCGAACCAGCACTTTTCCGAAATTGGAATGTCTAGTGTCGCTGACAACAGGGGTCTCGCCAGGGTTACCCTGCTTCACAAATGAGTCGTCCAAGTAAAACTTTGCGACCGTAGCCATCGCACGAAAGTTGGATGGTCGTCCAGAACCCGATGCATTCCCTAGTCTGGCACTACTCCTTCACACAACAGGAGGCATAATCGCGCTTTACTAGGCCGATATAGTCGTAAGCTAGGAGAATCTAGCTAAAACTCCGCCAATCGGTCGAATGTTACTGCCAACACCCACTCACGCTAGATGCATGTTGCAGGCCATAGGCTTATCGCGTGTGAGAACTCGCCCGCAAGCGACTTCCGGGAAACACTCGACCCGTCCCACCCGCTTATTTCCCTTCCCACGCGCCTCAACTCTCTACCCTAACGACACGATTCCCTTCCCTCCGCGCGGCTATTCCCTTCCCGTCGCGATACTTTTTCCGCTGCCCGATTATTCCGTCCCGTGGCGCGTCTACTCCCTGGCTCTCACGGCTGTTCCCCCCCCCCCCCGTTGCGCGGGTGTAAACGGCTCCGGCGCGCGGCTGTTCAATTCAAACGCGCCTCACGCCACTTACTCACCGGTGAAACGCGGGTCTCACAACGCAAATCCCCTGTCTCCCGCTGGGAGTCCGTACGCTAACTCTGTCACTCTTCTTCCCGCACGATGCCACTCCCTACCACACACGCTTACATTCCCTACCCCCCCCGCTGCCATTCCCCTCCTCTCTTGCTGCCTCTACCTTTCCCCTAAGCTGCCATTCTCTTCCCCTCTTGCGTCTCATCCCTCCCATCACGCTCCATTTGGGCTTCACATTGAATGCGGTACCTAAATTACGACCCGTCGCTTTCACAACCCCCTCCCGTTGCTCTTCACTTCCCCCCCCCCGTCGCTTTCACATCTCTCTCCCGTTGCTCTTCCTTTCCCTCTCTTCCCCGGCTCTTCACTTCCCCCTCCCGTTGCGCTCCACTTCCCTCTCCCGTTGCGCTTCACTTCCCCCTCCCGTTGCGCTTCACTTCCCCCTCCCGTTGCGCATCACTTCCCCCTTCCGTCGCGCTGCTCATTCTCCCGTCACCCTCTCTTCCCCGGCTCACCCTGTTTCCTATGCTCATTCTCTTCCTCCTCTCCCCCCCAGGACCCCACCCACTCGTCCTCAAGTTGTTGGTTCACATGCGCAAACGCCTCCTACACTGAGGGATCCCCTTTTCCCCGCACCCACCATTCCACCCCCGCCTCCCCCCCTTCTCCTGCAGTCGCTGGTGCACTTGCGCCATCGGTGAGTGTGGGCCATCAGCATCACCAGCGCCGCAGCCTCGCTGCTCCTCGCCTTCCCCTGCCTTCTCTCCGCCAACCTCGCCTGGAATGCCCTCTCCCACCACTCGTCCACCCCTCCCTCCCTGCCCTGCTCCTCTCCCACTGCCCCCTACCTCCCACCACCCTCCACCGCACTCCACTCCTCCTCCACGCCCTCACACCCCGCCGTGCGGCTAGCATTGGTTACAAGCAGCAGTACCCCTCACACACCCCCACATCTCTACTGCTGCTGTCTCTGACGCCCTTGTGTTACACCTCGCCCACTCCCGTCCCCACACGGTATGCCACCTCCTCACCACTCCTCACCGCACCCTACTCCCCCTCCACGCACTCACAACCCGCCTAACGAGCTGAAATGGTTACAAGCCGCAGTAGAAACGCACCCTCACCCTGCTCATTCAGTTCCCCCCGGCTCACTTTGTTTCCCCGCACGCTTCCAACCTTCCCGTCAACCCTGCCATTACCCTCTCGCCCCGACGTGATTTTCCTTTGTCGACACCCACCCGCCCCAGCCCCCTCTCCCCCGCGTCCAGACCCCCACTGCCTTCTTCCTTTCGAACACTCTCCCACGCCCATTGCCCCACTCCCCTCGTGAAAAAACCCGACTGCCCCCCGTCCTGTCCTTCACTCCCACCCGTCCATTCCCCCATTCCTTCCCGTCCAATACCCCACTCTCCCTCGGCCTTTTCGCACACAATAATCCTCCCTTTCCCCAACGCCAACCCTCAGCTTCCCCCACTTATGTCGCTTTCCCCCACTTCCCTCCGTCCAATCCCCAACTCCCCCTCTGAAACTTCCCCCCTCTACCCATGTCATCCTCTCTTCCCCCCTCTAGGGTTGTCATCCTCTCTTCCCCCCTCTACCCATGTCATCCTCTCTTCCCCCCTCTACCCATGTCATCCTCTCTTCCCCCCTCTACCCATGTCATCCTCTCTTCCCCCCTCTACCCATGTCATCCTCTCTTCCCCCCTCTACCCATCATCCTCTCTTCCCCCCTCTACCCATGTCATCCTCTCTTCCCCCCTCTACCCATGTCATCCTCTCTTCCCCCCTCTACCCATGTCATCCTCTCTTCCCCCCTCTACCCATGTCATCCTCTCTTCCCCCCTCTACCCATGTCATCCTCGCTGTCCCCTGCTACCCCACCCCCACTCACCGACCCACCCTCCTTTTGCTCCCCACCAGGGTTTAGAGGCGACTGTCAGGGGCCTGGCATTTGTCGGTGACTCGTCTGCACCCCTTCCCCCCCCCACCCCCTCACTCCCCTCACCTCCCTCTGTTTGCTCCCAACCACGAGCGTGACAATGCTGACAGGCGCCTCCCAACTCGCTGTGCATCCTCTGCTCATGTCGCCCCCCTGTGTATGCGCCGGCAGTTTATCCTGCAGGTTCATTGCACATCGCGGGGAGGGGCTTAGTCCCAACGAGGGACTAATTTTTAGGGTTCCTCGCAACGAGGCGTGGCACTGTACGTCGACGAGGACGGGAATGAGCAGCGACATTGATGAGGTGAGGGGGGGGATATGCACGGGTGGCGAAGAGGGGAAATGAGCAGTGAGTGGGCGCGGCAGAATGGAAAGGGAGTGGTAGCGGGGGAGTGTGGTGACAGTGGGCGCGGTGGAAAGAGCAGTGAGTGGGCGCGGGTGGATGTAAGGTGAGTGTGCAAGGTGGAGATGGAGGGAGAGTGGGATGTATCTGTACGCAACTTCCATGTCCATGGTGAGGTCTCTCTTGTGCGTGCGTTTTAACACGCCTGTGCTCAATCTCGCTATGCACCCCGCGCCCAACACAGGACTTACCAGACTTGGTACCACTTGACCATTTCGGCGAGTCACCCACGCCTCCAAGATTGCAACCATTCATTAACGTTGGGGGTGTTTGGCGTAGGGGTAGGGTACTTACTCGAATGTTTGTAGAGTGGCTGGACACGTTGCGAAGGCGACGTGGGGGAGTAGAGGGGCCGGGAGAGGAAATACGGTCAGGTCCAGGAGATTGGGTGGTGACGGAGGGCAGATGGACGGTCGCCAGGGGGAGGCCACGCGCAGGGCGGTCTAGCCGAGCGAGCGTCGGCTGAGGGAGGCGATGATGAGGAGGTATGTGGCCAGGTGTGCACCTTGCAATCTCTGAATTTGCTCATCCCATATCTCTTGCACCCTCTGTCCACTCCACTCTCACCCACCACTGCCCCTCTGTCCATTTGATCACTCACACACCCCAGCTCCATCTGTCCGCCGCACACGTTGTCTCTCTATCACTCAGTCATGTCTAAACTCCAATATCCTACAGCTCACAATGTCCTCCCTTCACTCTCCGCCCGCTGCCCCTTATCTGTCCTGCCCGAATTATGTCAGTGGCACAACCTGCCTTGCCCTCGGCGACACCTAATCCTTGCGCCATGACATGCATTCGCGTCCCCACCACTCTCATTCCAACTACGTCTCGTGACACTGAGGGAAGAAGTAGGGGAGGCTGAAGAGGAGGAGAGTAGTAATAGGAGGAAGAGGATGAAGCAGGAGGAAGGGGGAGCAAGGTTCTGGAAGTTCATGAATAGCTCTGTAATACTACCACGGTAGCACTCTGATCACGACTATGATATTGTCAGTATGCGTTTGTTTGCAGAGGATGTGTAACGGACGATCAGAGAACATCCTTTGATACATCAGTTCATAAGACGTTGATTGGTATGAAAGCCGTGGGAGTTCCATATTGCAATCAACGGGCAAAGTACAGTTATACGCTACACTTGAAGGGACCCACACAGTTGAAAGCATGGATGCGACACTGATGGTTGCAGACGTAGCAAGGGAAGACAACGCCAGTCAGAGTCCCTGTAGTCAGTGGGAGTGGCGCTCGTACAAAACACTGTTTGGCAGTCCCTAACATTACTAGACCAGCCCTGCTCGGGACTAAATATGGCCTAATCAACAGTCGATACTGAGGGCCACATAGCGTTCGCATATGGCCTCCGCCATCTCAAGCCTCCATTGCAACGCCACTGTTCATAGCGTTTTCCTCCAGGCGCTATGGACTGCCAACACTCTGTTCCCCTCCTTGTACTGTCCTCCTTCCATCTGCCACCCTGCTGTCTCTTCCCCGCTCCTTCCTGTCAACCCAATAGTGCTCGCACATCATTCCTTGCACCCGACATAGGACCATTTCCCGTTTCCACCACTCCCAGCGACGCCACCACTCCTCCCTTGCGAGAGAACCGCGCTGCTCTCAAGCCCAGAAGGGTCTCTACCATACTCCGATGCCTCCTCATCAGCCCCCTCTTCATTTACATCCTCTCCATAATCCATCAGCCTCAACCCATTCTTCCCTATGGTCCTTCTCAACCCACTCTTCACTCTCATCCCCCTACCCCCCCTCCCAATATTCCTGGTACATGCCAAATGCCCCTGCTTCGCCCACTCCCACCCACTTACCCACAACCGGCGTCCCCCAACCCTACGATTAACCTTGTGCATCCGAGCCCCTCACACTCCACTCTCCTTCCCTCCACTCATTTGATTGGCCCACACCCCTTCTCTCACCCCCACCCCTCCATGCCAATCCAATCCCGCCTTCCAAACTCGAATCTGCGTCCGTCTTCCTTCAGCCGATCAGACCCCTCAGCTTCTTTCCCGCCATCTCCCTCACCTTTCCCCGGCCCCAAATCCAGACCCTCCCCCCCTTTCCCTGCTCCTACAGCTGCATCTCAAAACACCCTCCCCGAATGTCTCCCCGTCTGCCCCTGCTTCAACTCCATACAACGATGCATCACCTCCCACTCCTGTCCGTTTCTCCGCTCCTTGGTCTCCCTCCGTCCCGCTGTGAATGCGGAGGGGGAGGGCGATGGGGGGAGGGAGAGAGGGGGGGGTGGGGGGGGGGGGGGGGGGGGGGGTTGGGATACAAGTAGTAACCTCGAGTGCCCGGGGGCGCAGGTGGAAACAATGCAGAGCTTGAGGGGAACGAGAGATACTAAGGAGAGGTGCTGAGATGGGTTGTCAACTAGATTGGACCTACCTTGCCCTTCTTGCGCTGCTTCTCATGTTCCGGCGGGTGCTCCGTGCTGATATCGTAGTCCATGTACCTACAGAAACACAAGGGGTTATCATAGAGGGTCCACCAAGCATTGAGGAGTGAGACAAACAAAGGAAGCTTACTAATAGACCAAAATGCGTGCGTGACTCCAATGACTCAAGTATTCTCACCATTGTGGCGTCTTGCGTGCACGCTTCTTTGGTGTACACGGGGGAGCATGAACTCCATTACCGCGGCATGGGCTCATCTGGATATTCAAAACACCATAGCACACATGAGTGTAGGGGCATGTCTGACAGGGGCAGCGTGACATGTAGATTCAAAAGCATAAAGATAGGCGAGGAACCACGTGACTTACACGTGAGACGACAGCGTGCACGGGACGGGCGGGGGCCACACACGGTCCTGTGGCGCCTCTTGGACCACGAGCTGGTGCTGCTGGTCCCGGCCTGGACAAAGCACTGTGGCTGGAGGCGGGGTGGAAAAAACATAATCAGTGTCTCGAGGGGGAACAGACTCGGGTGCATCCGAATCGGGTGTAACCACAGGCGGAGCAGGCTCAGGCCTCCCCCGGGAAGCCGTCCAGTCGCGCATGATGTCGTCAACCCAGGTCCAGTCCATGGGGCCCAGAACACGATCTTTCTTGCCACGCCTGACCCGTGTCGCCTTTCGGAGCCGTGTTTTGTATGCCTTGACCACCCGCTCCACAGTGTTGTTCCAGTGGAGCACGGCCAATGCAATGCGAGCCTCCATGCTCCCCAAGAACCTCACGCGCTTGGGAGCATACTTGCAGATGAGGGAGTGGAATGATTCGTTTAGCCAACTCCCCGCCCCAAGCACGTAGGGTCGCATCTGTTCTGCGCTGCAGTGAGTGGCCAGCCACTCTTTCACCGCCTTGTGGGTCTCAGAGTCGGGCTCGTACACAGCACTCTCAGGGCCCCAGTTGTCCTTCACGCAACGAGGAAGGACGTCCCCCCTAGCACAACCCGCATGTAGACCCGCCCAATGGTCAGCAGCGAGGGCGAGCTCAGCTGCCACATCCTCAGCACTCATGGGGAGACCCAGTCTTGCGAGTGTCGCATTGCGCACCATGACATGGTGGAAGTGTACACTAAAGCGCTGCCCAACAGTCACCTCCTCGACGAGATCATCCATGGCCAAATCGTCGTTTTCCACCCCCTCCAACTCCTCCCGCCGCCTCTTCTTAGTCCCCCTCTCCTCCCAGCGACGATGAGGCGACTCGGGTGCAACTGCATCCTCGTCGCCCGCTGCCATATCATGGGTGTCTGCACATGATAGGCATATGCACAAGAAAGAGAACAAGGAAACGGGTGAGCGAGTAATGATCACACATGGAGACACACGGGAGGCCCTTACTTTGCGTATGGCATAAATGTAGCACAACCCCATTCAACCCCTGCCCAACAGATGAGCATAACATCTCCATCATACCTGAAGTGGGGGCCTCATCCATCTCTGTCACGTGCTCCACCTCATCCTCCTCGTCGGGTGTGTGAACCCTGCCTGACACCGAAGCCTGGATGATGAGGAACGACGCCTCCGAGCATGGACGGACACCATGAGTCGGGTGCGGATCATAGCCCCACATCTCGCTGACATCCTCCCACCTCAAATCCTCCATGTCTCCCCTCTCCACCCTCACGCCACCTCCCTCTCCAGCTGTCTTCCCGCCTCCTACATTGGCCTCCCCATTTGCGAGACTGCCGTCAGACACCACCTCCACGGCTACATTCCCTGTTGTGGGTGTCGATAATCGCTGACCACCGATCTCCACGCGCCCACTCTCCCCACCATGTTGAACGCGAATGTCGACCAAAGCCGATCCGGACCCAGAATTGCCCTCGCACCGTTGCCTTTTTGAAGCGCGTCCTTCCCCTACCCCCCCTCCTCCGTTCTCCTTCCCATCTCCCTCCGCTCTAGCTACCCCCTTCCTACGCAACCGCAACACCTTTCGCATGGCTGGAAATTTCCAAGCTGCAGCTGTGGCTCTCATCTTTTTATATTTGAATTTGCCCAACAATTTGCACACGGCCTTCACAAGTGACTCTCTGGTGGAGCCCTGGGTAAGCCGCCCTTTATACCCACTGTCTTGCAGCCAGCCCCACAGATGTTGGGGGGCCACATGCCAAACATCCTCCACACTCTTGCATTCGGGTACGCGCAGCGATGTTTTTTTTGCATCTATGAAGTCCTGCACAAAGCGTCTAGTCAAATTCCGACCTTTATGCCAGACGTCCATTTGATGATTGAGCCCGTGATCAATAACTGCCGCCCTAAAGGACCCCCCCTCATCGGAAATGATTCCCTTGACAACGAATCCTATTTGTTTGAGCTCCTCTAACCCATGTTCGAAAGCTATCTTCTCAAGGGCGGGCGATGACCCCCCTGTAGCCTTTTTCGACACGGTGACACAATGCATAACCTTCTTTGTTATTCGATCCATGAACGACACAGTACACCACTGGGGATGGGCGAAGGAGACTGGGGATGGGCAAAGGAGACAGGGGGTGGGCAAAGGAGACAGGGGATGGGCAAAGGAGACAGGGGATGGGCAAAGGAGACAGGGGATGGGCAAAGGAGACAGGCGATGTGCAAAGGAGAAAGGGGATGGGCAAATGACAAGGGGGTTGGCAAAGATGACAGGGGATGGGCGAAGGAGACAGGGGATTGGCAAAGGAGACAGGGGATGGGCAAAGGAGACAGGGGATGTGCAAAGGACGGGGTGGGCAAAGATGACAAGGGATGGGCGAAGGAGACAGGGGATGGGCAAAGGAGACAGGGGGTGGGCAAAGGAGACAGGGGATGGGCAAAGGAGACAAGGGATGTGCAAAGGACAGGGGATGGGCAAAGATGACAGGGGATGGGCGAAGGAGACATGGGATTGGCAAAGGAGACAGGGGATGTGCAAAGGACAGAGGGTGGGCAAAGATGACAGGGGATGGGCGAAGGAGACTGGGGATGGGCAAAGGAGACAGGGGATGGGCAAAGGAGACAAGGGATGGGCAAAGGAGACAGGGGATGGGCAAAGGAGACAGGGGATGGCAAAGGACAAGGGGGTTGGCAAAGATGACAGGGGATGGGCGAAGGAGACAGGGGATGGGCAAAGGTTCCACCTCTCCCAACCATATGCACACAATCTCATTTCACACATCCTCACCCGTTTCTTTGAGATGCTTGTATTTGTCACCACGACGATGCCCTCCATGGTTGAAACCGGTGACGTTTTGCAGGACTCCTTCGCTGTTGAAAAAACAATCCGCAAACTCATAGGTGACGGGGATAATCGCGCGCGGTGTTCGGGACAGGAGATCCCCAGCCCGGCCCACCACGTCCTCACCACCAAATTGCAACTCCTGGCCATGAGCACGAAGACGCTTGCGTGCAATCTCCAACGCCTCTGGTCCGTCCGTTCCTGGATGATGATGATGAGGGCAACAGCTGGTGGTGAGTATTGGACCGACAATTGTGCGATGCGTACTCTAAAGCCCGACAAATACAAGGCAGGCGGGCATAGCCAAACCAAACTCACGTACCGCTTGAGGCCCCTATCGCCATAAGCCGTTTGGTGAGGCGCGGTGCCGCGAGCGTGTACAAATACATTAAGTCACCGCACGAAGCTATCCGCTTCCCATCAAATAGAAGCGTAGCCCCACTCCGCAAGAGTGCTATTGGCTCCTGGAGATGTCTCGAAATTGGCAATTGGGGTGTTCGATGACCTAGGGCGATTTCCTTCACTGCTCGACCCATCACATCTCGGGGTTCGGAGCCAGTACTGGTACGAGACGCCATCGCACTCTGGTATCAAATGGGGGAGTTCAATGGTGGGAGAATGATAGGAGGACACCGATGGGGGGGGAGAGTAAGGGGCTGCAAAAGTGGGGGAGAATGAGTGGGGAGTTCTGTGGAGTGTGTATGAAAGGGCAGCACAAGGGAGGTTGAATGAAAGTGGGAGGGCGAACCACTGGTGGTGGTTGATGGAGGGAGAGAGATCGGGGGCGATCGTGAGGTTTATGATGGAGGCCTTGCCGCGAAAAAAGGAGAATACCCTCGGAAAATACACACAGGAGGGTGAATGGATAATCTTCGATGGATGAATGGGGGGAGGGGGAGACTTTGGCAGTGCTCACCGCTGCGATTGCCTGTGTACGCGCACTTATGTGCCGCTCCCCCCTCGGGACGTTGAGCAATCTGCGATGGTGGTTGGGGGGATGGGGTAAGGCGGAGGAGGTATGGGCAGAACGCGGCGGGGAGACTGCGGGAGTCCGATTGCGGCTGTGCGTGCGCACGGGGAGGACCAGGAGCCGGGGGAATGACACTTTTTTAAGGGTGAGAGGGGAAAGAGTGGATGACATGGGTGGCAGGGGGGAGGAAGAAAGTTTCAGGGTAGCAAGGGGAGATGGTGGGTGTGAGAATAATAGGGGCAGGTCGGGGGGAGGGAGAGTGAATGGAAGGGGCAGGTCCTGGGGAAGAAAATGAATGGGGGAGATTCAGGGTGTGAGAATGAAAAGGTAGGTCAGGGGATGGAGAATGAATGGGGGAGATTGAGGGTGTGATATTGAAAGGGTAGGTCATGGGAGGGGGAATGAAAGGGGGAGATCGAGGGTGTGAGAAAGAAAGGGGCAGGTCATGGGAGGGAGGATGGTAGGGGGAGATCGAGTTTGTGAGAAGGAAAGGGGCAGGTCGCGGGGGGGAGAGAGAATGGAGGAGATTGAGGGTGTGATGAAGAAAGGGGCAGGTCATGGGAGGGGGAATGGTAGGGGGATGAAGAGGGTGTGAGAAACAAAGGGGATGGTCATGGGAGGGAGGATGATATGGGGAGTTCGAGGGTGTGGGAATGAAAGGGGCAGGTCATGGGAGGGTGAATGAACGGGGGAGCTCGAGGGTGTGAGATTGAAAGGGGCAGGTCATGGGGGGGAGAAAGAATGGGGGAGATCGAGGGTCTGAGAAGGAAAGGGCAGGTCCTTGGATGGGGAATGATAGGGGGAGATTGAGGGTGTGAGACTGAATGGGGCAGGTTGGCGGGGGGAGGATGAATGGGGGAGATTTAGGGCGTGAGAATGAGAGGGGCAGGTTATGGGAGAGAGAATGAACGGGGGAGCTCAAGGGTGTGAGAATGAGAGGGTGAGGTCATGGGAGGGGGAAGGGTAGGGGCTCGAGGGAGGTTGAACGACAGTGGGCTGGAGAGATTTACACAACCACGGAGGGAAATCTAGGGAGGGAGAGAGATATGGGGGCGCATGCGTGAGTGAGAATGGAGGCCTTGCCTCGAACATGGGAAACTGAAAGGGGGAGATTGTGGACGGAAGAATGCGGGGTTACTCTCGAGGCATGTTCTGTAAAAGGGGGAACTAATGGTGGTGCTCACCGCTGCGAATGTGTGGGTTAGATCCCTTCCACGCCGCTCCCCTGTTGGTACGTCGTCCAACCTGTGATTGTAGTTGGGGGGATGATGTGAGGAGGCAGAGAGTGTGGACGGGCGATTGTTTCGGCGCCATGAGCCTTAGGCCGGCTTGTTTCGAAGCGGGTGTGCGGAGAGGCGAATGTGTGTGGGCGCGGAGAGGCGACTGTGTGTGTGGGCGGAGAGGCGACTGTGTGTGTGGGCGGAGAGGCGACTGTGTGTGTGGGCGGAGAGGCGACTGTGTGTGTGGGCGGAGAGGCGAATGTGTGTGTGGGGAGAGTAGAATGCGTGTGTGCGGATGGCGAATGCGTGTGTGCGGAGACCCCAATGCGTGTGTGCGGAGAGTGGAATTCGTGTGTGCGGATGGCGAATGCGTGTGTGCGGATGGTGAATGCGTGTGTGAGGATGGCGAATGCGTGTGTGTACTGCGTGTGTGCGGATAGGTGAATAGTGTGTACGGAGAGGCGATTGCGTGTGTGCGGATAGGCGACGGCTTTGCGAACATGACTGCTCAGATGTCCGCGACGCGCATGCACTGAGGTGGGCGCGATGTGTGGTTGTCACCACAACCCCTGTGTGGCCTTTCCCACGCCTCCCTCGAATCCCGCATGTACACTACAGCGTTTCGAGATGTCCCCATTGACGGCGGGGGTCATCGTGTTGCTTTTCCGGGTCGTCTAAAGCCTTAGGCGTTTAGTGGGCCAGCACACATTGACTCCGCGTTGCACCAGCCTTAGCCTGGACGCGAATGTCAAATGACGTCGCTTGTCCTTGCGCCTAAAACCGCAATGTGCGCCGCTCTGGCCGTTACAGTGCGTACCTGTCGAATCTCGTCAGTCGCGTTCGCGTGCAATGCGGTATGGTGGCTACCAGGATGGTTGATGGCGTATGGCTGGGAGTCGGTGAAACTCGGGAATATGCTCGGGCATTTTGGGACAAGTTTTTCCCCTTGGGTTCACATGTCAGGGTTGGTTGGAGTTGGGCGATCGAATTGTGCGATGGAAACCAAGGGACTGGTGTCGTCGCTGCAGTGTTTTCGTCCAGTGTTTGCAGGCGACGCTTCAGAGTGTTGTCGGACAAGGCTCTGTCCGAAACCTGGTAACACCCAACCAACCTTAGGAAGGATGAACCAAATTTGGGCTTCTTGACCCACGGGTTTTAATTGGTACTTGAAAGTTTTTCTTTGATTTTGCAGGTGCTGGCAGTCTTGCAGTGTATGGAAACCTTTTCGCCCTGGGTCTTTCTTTGATTGCGCTGATTGTGACACGACTCTCCGAGGAGTGTGCAGTGCAGTCGTCATAGGTGCAGTCGTCATAGCATTACAAATCCCATTTGTACAGCACACTCAAATGAGCAATAACAATGAGTATTCAAATAGGGTATCATAAACTCTATGTAACTAAAAAAAAAGGAATTGGGTGGGAGGGAAGCAAATTGGAGATCTGAAAATGCAAATGAGACTAGGTGGCAGGTCGGAGAGACCTGCGGGAATGAAAAGGAGTTTGTCTCCTTTACAACAAACTCCTCTTCTAGTCGAATCACAATCTTCAAATTTTTAGAAGTTTAACTTTAAAAAATTTACATATTGTGACACGACTCTCCGAGGAGTGTGCAGTGCAGTCGTCATAGGTAAACGAGACATCAAATAGGCGGAGGATGACGATGGCGTGCGAGAGTGGATGCGTAACGGTAGGTAGAGCTAGGTCTCGTCGGATCCTGAAGGGTACGCGATGCCGTCACCAACTCGCGGTCCAACTGGGTGACGTACAACTCCCGAGCCTTGTCGCTACGCCACCGGCCGAGGGCCTTGAAGAGGCGATCAGGCACGCCAACATCGACAGCCACGGTGGCGGCAGACTTGCGAAAGGAATGCGTGCCGAGCAGATTCGGGTTGAGGCCAACACGACAAAATGCCTCGCGACACCAGCCTCGGACCGTGGCGTAGGATGGGGATCGATCGGATGGCGAAGCCCGCGCAGCAGGCGGGAACACCCGAATAAGGGGGCCTAAGGTTTGCGCAGAGAAGCCAGCGAGGAAGAGAAATTGCCGTACGCGAGTGACAGGGCAGTGGCGGGCAGAAGAGGCGGCGACTGGGACCCAGGCGCCTGTGCCGGCCTGGTCCGTTTTTGAGCGGGGGATGAACAGCCACATGCAGTCGCGGTCGAACTCGATTTGGTGCCATTGAAGGGCAACGAGGTCGGAGAAGCGCAGGAAAGCTGCAAACATAAGAAGAGGGATGAGACCGCGCTGGAAGATGGCAGGATCCGTCGACGAGAAGCAGATATCGCAAATGTCATAAATCTTAGCAGGGGGTATAGGTTCCTTTGGCACGGAAGGTTTGCCGCAGTGTCGTTTCGCGTACTCCTTTACTTGTGAGGAGAGCGGTCCTCGAATAGGAGATGGGCAGCCGACCAACCAGTGGGCGCAAGAAATTGCAGAGCAGGCAGATCGCACGGCGGAGACCGTGGCACCCCTGCGTACTGAGTGCAGTAAGAATAGCGCGGATGTTAGGTCCGTGGCAGGGAGAAACGACAACGAATGCTCTTGACAGAATGTGCGATACTGTCGCCAGTAGGGTTCGTATGTGCGGATCGTGGATTGGGCGCGCAAATCGACAGTAGGCGTTAAGAGGTCCCCCATCAAACGTCCAATATATGAACCTGCATGTTTACAAGGCTATGGATTAGTATATATCAAACGAAGAGCATACATATGCGAATGGGGGATA